GAAAATTTGAATTTCAAGATAAAGTAACCTGAACGACTCGAAACATGTTTCTTATAGGTTTTCGACAATGCTCTTTCCAGTGGCATCATTTTTAAATATTGAGAAAGTTTTCTGAAGGGTTTTCCAGCGGCCGGATCTCTGGAAAACTCCTTAGAAAACTTTTTCAAAACTCAACTCGCATGCCATTAGAAAGAGGATCATGAAAAACCTATAAAAAAATGATTCATGAAATTTTAGTTCACTCATAAAGCTAAAGTCCGCCTGCTCTAGCAAAAAATGCCCACTGTAGCGCTACAGTGCAGGCTGTTGCATCATTGGCAAGGAGCATTAATCGAGGGTACCCGAGGGCTCGATCCTAGGGCCATTGTTGTTTTTAATATTTATTGATGATATCGCTGAAAACATCAACTCCACGATGAAACTCTTTGCTGATGATGTATCTCTGTATTGCATTACAAAAAGGAATGACTTATCGAAGGCTGTGAATCAAATAAATAAGGACTTAGTCATCATCTATAATTATAATTCTATAAATATAATTGGTCAGTAACTTGGAAGCTTCATTTGAATATAGATAAATGTATAGCTATGCTATTCTCTACTCATAAAATACTTCAGACTGCTACACTGCCTGTTATCAGCATCAATAACACTCCCATACTCTACGTTACTAAACATTAACATCTTGGTTTAGTGCTGAAGAATAACCTTGATTGGACAGCGCATATAGATTATATCCTACATAAAATCGAAAAAAATTTTTACAGTGACCACATGTATATGGATCTTCGATCCGTTTTTGTGGCTTGAATTTTTTTGGATTTTCTATTGTTTTTTACTTTCTTTCTTTACATCAATAAACGAGATTAAAACAAACGGGAATAAATAGTAACTATAGTAAAATATTTGAGAGTCATCGGTTTTTGCAAAGTGCCAAAAAATGACGATCGCTAAACGTCGCCTCTTATTTCGCGAGTCTAAATAAATAAATTTAGATAAATTACTTAGAAGCCTGAGTGGGAATGTTGCTTTAGTTTTATTGCTTTACTTTATTTTATTTTCAATTAGAATAATAGATAAATGTACATGAATCATTTATATTTAAAAAATAAATATAAATAAATGATAAGAAACTTTGTCTTTATATTATAAAATTAAATGATCCATTTATCTTTATTTCATTATTTCTAACTTTATTTTTAAAAGTAAAGATAGAAATAAAGGAAGAAATATAAACGGATCATTTAATTCACATAAACCCTCACCCGCACTATCCATCAGGCCTTCTCCCTGCCCAACGAGAGAGATGCCCGTCAAAGTGCTAATATACAACCAGAATCTTGCGAGCCCGTAGCTCATAATTGACACTCCCTGGGAGTGCCAGGCTTACAAAAATAGAAAAAGTTGACATATTGTTCGGTTGTTCGATAGTTGTATACACAGAAAGCTCTGATTTTCGGACGCTATTCCTCATCCGAAGGTTCTGGATGACTCGAGCAGTGGTATGTCGTTCTCTTGTTTAAAGACAGCATAGTAAGTTACGTCAGCTCAGTTAACAGTATAGTTAACTAACGTAGTATCACTTTGATTCATTACCGTATCGTGTTATGACCTGGTGAGCTGTTATTTCTCGTCGTAGTATGTCATCTACATATCCCACTTCAGGCGGCTCCGGGAGCTTGAGATGCTCAGTAACCGATGCTAGAAAGGAAAAAAATCGCCCTTCTATAAACCTGAAATATTTTTATAATATTCTCATCCTGCAACAACTGATGTACTTTTGCTACATCTCAAATGCATGCTTTATTCTATCTGTTTTCTTTCAGCATCTTGTTATGTATTACCTACAAAAGATAACTCACTACAGTACCACTAATTATATTTTTCACGTTCGTTTTGATCCACAAAGTTGCAATTAGTGCAATTCAATCAATAACCTGCTTCAGATAGCTCAAATTGCTCGAATGATCACATAATTAAAGCTATAATAGTTGATAATATGACACATAGGTGAAGTAAGTAAGAAAGCTATTGGTTGGGGTGAATAACTGAAGCTAACACAATAAAACTACTTCCAACCGCGCGCTTAAAGGAGCTGTAAGGAGGCCTAATGTATCGCTCATTAGGTAGATTTGAGAAGATAGAAAATAGTTTCCAAAAAAACTCTCGACCGCTGTTTTTTCTTCTAAAGTTTTGACTCTTGACACATTCGGTTCTAGATGCAGCCGTAATTTTAAGCGAAAATTAATTTTTGGTACCCATACTCGGAAAAAATAAACAAATTTGTATTTCGTGCTGTCATATTAATATTTTTTGTAAAAATGTTAGTTGTGAATTTAAACTTGAAATTAAGTAACATACATTTTATATCTATAGATCTTATACTAATATATGTATAATTTTCTAATAAAAAGTTCATTAAAACGATTTTGATTAATTTTCAAAAAAGGCTGGCCATTATTGAAAGTTGTGGGTCAACTATTTCTGGTCACTTTGTATATTGATCGATCCATTTCATACCGGCTGGTTCATTTGCATATTGGCTAAGCAAAGTTTGGCCAATTTACAAACAAGCAATAAGACCGGGTATATTTATAAAGTGGCCGGCCATTTTATAAACCGACCACAATTTTCCAAATTGACCACAATATATATCTTCTCTAGATGAATCTTATCATTACGTTCAACAAACAAATCGTCTGAATGAATAATCATTCATCAGTCAATAGATAAACAAAATGCTCTTGACTATTTAAATATATCTCATATAAATCAATATTAAACTGAACTGTATTACCTTGTACCTTACTATCTTAACATTTTCTTTACAATAAAATGTACCGTCGCCTTTCAAATCGCTTTTCATTGATATAGATAACTGAATCTTTATCTTCACACATTCTCTATTTTTAAAAGACAAGACTTGTCGTTTAGGCGATACATGTTCATAAACATAAAGGAAAAAAATGAATACACATCATTTAATTTTTTGAAAAATCGAACAGACAACTTTAACATAGGGATATTTTTCCTTTTTTTATTTTTATATAATATATACAGTCGATAATAAAAAACTAGTTTGACAAGCATCTGTAACATACTACATTTATATCCTATTTTTCTTTTCTTTTTCACTTTTCCCCTGGATGTTATGATCTGAAGCCACGTTAATAATTTGAAGTAGTGTATATTCAGCATTACAGTCATGACAACAAGAAAAGAATGGTAGTTGATTCTTCGTACGTTTATCGTCTGTTTTCTGTTCAACGCGTCTCATAATAGGATAAGTCTAAAGAATAAACATCGAAAGAATAAGCTTTCTGTTAATTTAGCTGATGATTCTGTTCACCAGCTGATATAAATTAACAGAAAGTTTATTCTTTCGATGTCGCACAACACTTTTAACAGGAAATGTTTGGGGTTCAAATGCAGTTCAGACCTACGAGGCTGTACTGAAGAGATATAACACCTTTTTAATTCAGGAAGAAGTTAAGCTCAGAGCACTATAGCTAACTCTTCTGTAAATTTTCTTTTCAAAAGTGAATTTCTCTGATGTAACCCATTTCTGAGCACTAGGTATTTGGCACTCTATCAGTTTTATCTTATATGAGACGCGTTGAACAGAAAGCAGACGATAAACGTACCAAATCATGAAGAATCAACTACTATTCTTTTCTTTTTGTCATGACTGTAATGCTGAATGCACACTACTTCAAATTATTAACGTGGCTTCCTAAAAAGGAAGGAAAATGAGGCAAACAAAAAAGTCAGTTTTCTGTAACCCGCGTTGCATCTGCTCTGATTCTCATTAAAAGGCAGTGCATTTGTAAAAGAAAATTTCATCTTAGCAATTAAATGAAACATTATTAGTCCTTCTTCCTTTTTAACCAAAAAAAAATGACGACTATTCCGAACTCTGCTCGTCCACTTTGGTCTCGTTTAAAAGACCGTCTTCAACAGCTCAATTTCTTCAGTGATATTGAAAAGCAGACCGCACACGACGTACGTAATCAGTACCTGAGTACTCGTATATTTCTCCTTCTATTCACCATTGCACTTGTTTTACTGGTTCTCTATACGTCAGTGGAACCAATATCTGTAACAGAAACCGTTCAGCGGCCAACTTTTTCTACATACGAACGGCTGAATGCACACTATACACAGACACTTGTCTGTCCGTGTGAGACAATCGCAATTCCCTACGATAACTTCGTCTCATTTGGCCCCAAATATCATCAGGTGTGTCAGTCAGATTTCGTTAGTGAACGGTGGATTGAATATCTTCTACGTTCACTAAAGTGGTTTCCTGCAGGCGGTCCAGCATTTCAAGTTTTGGCAACATTATGTTTACTATCGCAACAAATTGTAAAGGATGAATTATTAATATTCTATTCTACTGCATTCATAACTGATACATTGGTATCCAAATTGACTTTTAATCAGCAAGTCTTAGCGTTAACTAATACGTTTAAAGATAGAACTAAGACTTCATTTACCACCACATTAAGTTCAGTAAAAGATCTATTACAATCCAACTCATTGTTGACCGTACTACACACAAACTACATTTTAGCACATGCAGACGATGATAGTGCTTCACTTGTTGTATTCACCTGTCTCTATAACGGTGTATGTTCGTGTGCACTATCACCTTTATGCGTACAAGAAGCTGGTATCTATCAGAATGTGAATGGCAGATTTCAAATTATATTTAATATTAGTAATTTTTACACTGGTTGTTATGTTGTTGAAGCTCTGCTTCAATCGAGTCTTGCCTATTTCTATAATCAAACGTCTATGACTGAACTACAATCATACCTTGATCTCAGTAATAATAGTGAGAAATTCAATGTAACAGCTCTTGACCTATCTATACCGAGTAATTACGCACCGACAACAACAATCGGTGATCTACTCAATAAGTTAATGATTGAAGACTGGAATTTGCAGACATCCTTTGAGTCTTGTTTCAATGCGTGTCAACCACTATTGTGTACCTACACGTACAGTGGACATAATGGTCTTATCTATGTCCTTACGACCACATTTGGACTGATTGGTGGAATTGCAACAGTACTTTTTTTTCTGGTACCATTGATTGTTGGAATTGTTCGAAAAAATAAGAATTCAGGCGTGATTATTGTAGACAATACGGGTAAGACTGAGAGATGCGTAGACTATGGGTGTTATCTTTAACCTTAATTAACGTTAACGTTGGACCTAAAGTTAATGTTACAGCCTTAGCGTAGACCTAACGTCGACGACAGCAAATAGAAAGATAAAAGACTCCGTTTCTCGCACTAGTCCTCGTTTTAAAACGAGGACATTCTAGTGGAACAATTATAATTGTTCCACTAGAATGTAGAAAACGTAAGCATTCAATTATTTTATTCTTCATTGATAAGGACCATTCTTGACTTACCGAGATCGTCTCCTTTCAATTTTGTCTCGTATCAACGATGCAATGCGCACATTCAATATATTCAAAGATCCCGAAAAGAAACGTCCACATGATTTAACTAATCAATACTATTCCACTCGTATCTTCATTATTTGTCTTACAATATCAATGATCATACTCGTCCTCTATACATCTCTGACAGCTGTAACTATCATCCAGAAAATAAAACAGCCCTCATCGTCCCAGTTTTCGCAACTCTATTCAAAATATCCTCAAACCTTAAATTGTCCCTGTACACATCTTTCAATTGACTACAAAGACTTTATTTCTATTAAACCGATTTTTCACCAGGTGTGCTCAAGTGATTTTGTCAGCCACTCGTGGTTAATATATAGTACGATAAACTATACAGCCGCAAATGATCACTATCTGCCTGGAGACGATTTCCGTTACACAATGGCAGCTTCATTTTACACATTGCTAGCGTTGTGCGAAATATCCAATGAAACTGTTTATCATAATCTTCAAAATTTTAAGTCTACAACCTATTTTACATCAACGGCAATCAACAAAATACTGTTTCAGGCACAACTCAGTGAAATCGTGGTTAATTTTCAACAGACAACAATAAATTCATTCAAAAATTCATTGTACCTTGTCAGTACCCTGACACAAGGCAACGCCTTGTCAGGGATAGGAACAAATTACAATTTTAGACTCGTTCCCGATTCAGCATTCGAATTTGAACCTGTATCAGTCAGTTTTTTCCAACCAACAGGTGAATTATGTTATTGCAAAGCTAATATTTCATGTGTTACTCGATCAATGATTTACGGACCAGCTCATATTCATCTCTATATAATTCCAGGTTTCTATATGGGTTGCCACACTACTGAATCACTATTATCGTCTACACTTGAATGTTTCTTTGACCAGTCATGTTTGGATGCAATCAATACACATGTGTACAACATTTCAGAATATCCATTTGATGCAACTGTGTTAAATTCATCATCTAAAAGTCAGTTTACCGTTAATTCAACATTACGTCAAATTGTACAACAACTGATGATTGAAGAATGGAACAGTGAAGTGTCGTTCGATAAATATTATAACTCGTGTACACCAGAGGAATGTGCTTACACGTATCAAAAACGTACAGATCTAATTTATATTCTAACAACGATTACCGGTTTACTAGGTGGTTTAACGACGATTTTTAAACTGTTGATACCACCGGTGGTTGCATTCTTCAGACGAAAGAAAGACCCGGGAGCCAGAGAAAGAGAATCCTTACACGCAGAAAGTAAGTGATGACTGAAGTAGTTCGAAAGCATTTAAACATAATACTGCTGTCAGCCTTGTACTAAGAGCTATTAAAGTTTAGACGTGTAAGCGCAGTAGTTATTCTCGTGTAGTGTTCTGCTAAGTGGAAACCCTTTTTTGACCAAAGAATAAATCAGTTAGACAACGACATCAGTATCTTCCTATTTCAGCCATTAGTAACCGTTTAACTTTATTGTGGAAGAAACTGATAGATTTAATAATGAATTTGAATTTGTTCAAAAATTACAATAAGAAATCTTCATATGATTTAACAAATCAGCGAATTTCAACGTGGTTGTTCCTTATTCTTCTACTCATATCTCCCATCATTCTGCTCGTCTATTCATCACTTCAAAAACTAACTCAAACCGTGACAATCAAACATCCAGCATTCTCTGTCTATAACCAATTATTTCAAAAGTATCCAGAAACACTTACCTGTCCCTGTTCCAATATTACTGTTGATTATCAACAGTTCATTAGAATTGAACCCCAATATCACGAGGTGTGCCAGTCAGATTTTGTCACTCCGGAGTGGATAAAGAACATTGGCTATAAGGAATCTCTGGTTGTTCTAACAAACGATGACGATTTTAGACAGATTGCTGGCATTATTTTTCAACTTTTGTCTAGTTTTTGTGAGTTAACACAGGAAACTGTTCAAGATCAGTTAATTATATTTAATTCTACAAAATTTATTTCGCTCCATGTCATTTCACCGAGATTATTCCAGTCGGAGACGGAGAGCACTATTCAAACGTTTAAACGGATTACTGTCAGTACATTTATACGATCATTACAGTTAGTGCAGAATATTACTAGAGGGAATTCATTTATGAGTGGACTGTTGACAAATACACGGCTCAGTCTTATTCCTTTTATACATATATTATATTACAACGTTTATTATGTCCAATATTCCGATCGTAGTTATAATGAAACAATTGAACAATGTAATTGTAGAATAGAACAGTTTTGTTTCCAGCAAGCTGCAATCTATAATATAACATCATCTGATTATGATCCTAATTGGTGGATGTATTTTTCGACTGCAGAGGAAATTATTTGGCACTCAATACCAGGTATCAGTGCGTTTATTTTTGGAAAAAAAATTGCTAGGTAAAAACGACTGTAGGGATAGCTGGCAGGCCGGGGTTGGGACTTCAAAGATTGTATCGATCAGTTATGGTCAAATCTTATGAACGAAACTTGTTTTCCACTTTCTTGATAGACAAGAACTTCGAAGCTTAAGATAACCAATGATTAACGTAGTGTTAATCCTTTGAGTTTTACTCTACTCTAGGGCTGTATGTCGGATGTTACATAGTTGATGCACTTCTGCATTCTGATCTTCGGTGCTTTTATGATCAATCATGTCTCTCTACATTACTTAATGCAACTCAATATCCGTCTGATAATATAACCAGTCTGAATGCATCTGTTACAAGTCAATACACGATAACAACCAGCATCGATCAATTAGTACGAAATCTTCTGATTGAACAATGGAATGATCAGACATCATACGAATCATATTTCGATGCATGTCAATCACGATTTTGCACTTATTCCTATATTAGTAGTGCCACATTGATTTATATTATCACAACAATCATCGGACTTATCGGAGGACTTACCAAAGTTTTCAAATTCATTATACCATTAGCTGTACGAATTGTCCGCCGTTACATGTGGTCATCTATTAAACAAAAGTTGTCATGGTTAGATATACAAAACAATACGGTTGTACCATTTCCTTCGGCATCTACGAATGCAATTGACAATGACAGACTCACAACAATTTCCTAAATCATCATGTATATATATATATATATCGGGTGGCGCAGAATAAAGTGCACTCTAAGTATTTTTGAAATTTCTCCTTGTCCTTAGATTCGATCGAGCTGATTTTTTTGCCAAAAGATTCCCTGTTCAATTCTCTACAAAACAGTACATAAACGCGCGTTTGAAGTAATATACTTTCAAAAAAACTCGAGATGATAATGTTCACTGATATTTTGTGTCATCAGATAGAGAACATTTGGATATGTAAACAAGCAACTTAGAATCTGGTTTGTATCCCTCTTTTAGCATACATTTCAAATTGCAACAAGTTAGCAGACAACGATTACATTTTTCACGTTTTCGAGACACATCTCATTTTGTTCTGCCGAAGTAACGTCACAAAATTTCGGCTTATCGCTTTACTATTTTGTAGAGAATTGAATATCTTTTGGCAAGAAAACCAGCTCGATCGGACCTAAGGACGAGGACAAATTTCGAAAATACTGAGAGTGCAATTTATTCTGCGGCATCCGAAATATATATATATTTATTGCTTCACGTATGGTTAGTTGTATGCAGTTTGCACTACTATTTATTATTAATCTTAAAAGATTTGAGAAAGCGAACTTTATCTTAAGCATATAAAGTAGTACATTATCTCAAAACAAATGAGCTGAACTAATGTGGTTTTCTGCACATCTACAAACCTGTAACGGATTTCAAGAGTTTTGCTGCGTCGACTCCAATGACAAAAAAAAGAGCTATCTGTCCGTTTTATCGAGTGTTCTCGAATGTCGTTGTTGACATATTCAAATCAAATTGGAGTACTAAGAACGAGGTCAAAAACTAAGCGGTTTCTCAAATGCCGTAACTCGGAGCAGAAACATCGTAGAGAGTGGTTGACATTGTATTTTCTTCGGAATTTGATGCTCTTTTTAGGGTTCGATCAAACTTGAGTTGGGATTTCTTCTCGTTTTGTAGGAGCTTTCTGGAAAATCAAGTTTTTAGGTTTTCAGCTGTTGCACTCGTTTTTCTAAAACTTTTACTAATACTTGAAAGTGCATCAGAAAATAAGTTCATTAGAAATCTTTAACTGCTTCAAGGTTTCCTTTAAAAATAGTAGGGTCATTAGTAAGTCATTTGTAGATGGGAGACTTTTTCGAGTGATTTTAGAGCTGATTTTGCGTTTTAAACAGTTAAATGAAGTCCTATACACTTTTTCCACGTGATATTTGGCAAGATGTTTATCTACAATAAATATGTTTTCACAGTTCCAAAGCCAGATGTTTATAGTCTCCAGATCGAATTCTGCACAAGAGCTTGAAAGATGATCATGGAAACAAAAACTTTTGTCGGGATTATTCTAGGTTTTTATGCAAAATGAGATCATATTCGTGATCAGCGCAAGCTTTTGCATCTGACGATGCGTCGTTTATCAAAATTAGCGATAAAAACTTCTCTAATGTTCCCAGAGGCTTGCTTTTGATACGTGTAAGTACTTTTCTCCAGTGTACACGAGTTACAATATTTATCGAACGATACCGATACTTCACTGTTTCATTCTTCAAACATCAGTTGTTGTACAATTTGACTTAGTGTTGAATTAACGGTAAACTGACTTTTAGATGATAAATTTAACACAGTCGTATTTTGAAAATTCAAACTCTATAATGGATTTACCCGAGGACTGTTTTGAGTAGCGGCACAGAGCTTTTTGATCTTCTTCGAAAGTTTGCTGGTCCATTAGAAGCCGAACTGCTCGAAATTCAACACGTACAAAGTGTGCCATCACTCTTGAAGACACACGACATTTTTTCGATTATGGAATTAGACTGTCCCAATTTGGATCAAATTAAAGACAACATTTCCTTCAAAGTCAACAATGGTCCTCGTGTTGTTAAAGCCGTCAAAAGTGGGCTTCGCCGTTTTCCAAATTTCTCTGCCATTTCAAATGCTAAAGAGCTCGGATTGGTTTTAAAATGCGGCCCAGAACCGGGGCTACAACTTGACAGAGTTCGATTTCTTTTTTGTGTTGCAGTATCTTGTTTTTGAAGGCTTACTTTATAAGATATGATAAGAATAGGGTATATATTGTAAAACAATTGAACCTCATGAGATATTGTACAAAAATTGATTCTTTTGTTGAAAATAAAAAAAGGCAAACATTTCTGTGTATAAAACGACTTCCCTTTTTTTGTCAGAATCTTTGTTTCAAAAGAAGTCGCCTTGAGAGACTCTCAGCCAAGCAAGATTCTCAGCTGTGATAGGAGCCAAAACTTTGCTGAAACGTTTTTTTTAACGCTAATGATAAAGAAAAACGTTTACCTGCAAGTTTTTCCCGGCTTTGACGTGGACGTTGAAAAACCGCAGAGACCTAAATTCGAGGGAGGACGCGGAGGTGTATATTCCCCCAAAACAAATTTTGCTGCGTGAGCCGTATAAACCTTTTTACACCCTCAAGTTCACTTCCTATTCAGGTCCCTGAAAAAAGGACAGTAAGTGTGCCTAGAACTTTCGTTTTCAATGGTAGCTTTTAGATGAAAGGTCTTTTTAGAAATGATTTTTTATACTGATGACACCCTTTTGCTCAAAACGGTACAATGGCTGCCTGTTTCAATCATGTATTTT